CAGAAGAGAGAACAAAATGAACACATATATAGATTACGATTCTGAGCAGAGTACATGATAAATATTTATGAAGGGGTTTGGGAGCGTTAGCCAAAAATCCCCATGACCCAGATACAAAAAATTACTCTCGGAAACGGACACATAATGCAGAGACAATATGGGACATGAGTCCTGAACATGATGTTAAAAGAAAGTTTCCCAGGACCGTTCTCATATGCACAAGATCTTGAAAAAAAATTAAAGTGGATTATGGATTTAAGTGAAATTCAATAACCCAAAGAGCCAGGTAACTAAGTGCGGCTTATTATGAGGAGAGAGAGCTGATTTGAAACTAATAGATATAATCACCACATAGAAAGGCTAAAACTGAAAGCAAGGCTATATCAATGCAGAAAAAAAACACTCATTCATTTAAAAAGCTTAGAAAATAAGAATATAATTAAACTTGTGGAATCTGATGAATTGCATAAAAAAGGCCAATATCTAATATTATAGGTTATAGTGAATTCTGAAAGACCGACAAAGTTGGAAGCAAGACAAAGACAATCACTTCCAACACCGAGCTGGATGTTCTAGTTACGCAAAGCGGGAAACACATATAAGAAGCATACGGACCAGGACCAGAAAAACAGGACAAAGACAAAAGATAACGAAAAAAAACTGTCCTGTTTTCAAATGACACGATTATTTATGCTCAAGATCCAAAAATAACTGCAAAAGACTTCCTGGAACATGGTGGTCACAGGATACAAGACAAGTAAAAAAAAAAGTCTATTTGCTTCTAGTCTATTTATTCTGTAGTCTAGCAGTGGATTTGTTAGCACAGGCAATGAAAATATACATCGGAGCTGGCTGGGTAGCTCAGTGGTAAGCGTGAATAAGGCCCTCAGCACCGAAAACAAGGAAAAAGAGAAGAAGAAAAAACACACAGGATCATTTATAGTCACCTATTTTAAAAATGAAAAGTCTAAGTCTAACAAAGCATTGTGCATGCAGGACATAAACATTCCGGAACCATATAGTGTTGACAAAATTAGTCAAAGTAGTCTTAGACGTTTGCACAGACATACCATGTTCACAGACTAGAAGAATCAATACAGCACATCCTCTAAAACTATATATATATACATATACACATATATGTATATATATGTTTACCATAATAATTATTAAAATCTCAGTGAAAAGATTTGTTGATGTAGACCTGTTTATTCTGTAGTATAATATATGGAAAGAAAAAAGGATGAAAATGGGTAAAGCAATTTTTGAAAAGAAGATTAAAATGGATAGAATCAGGGCACCATATTAAAATTTTTTATTTATTTTATGAGTGTTTAAATATCTGTGTAACAGGTGTGTTTATGTGCGTGGTGCCACTGGAGGCCAGAAAAGGGCAATGGGCACTGGGTACCCTGGGATTGAAGTCGTGGCTGACTGTAAACTACTATGTTGATGCTGAGAATTGAAGCTGGGTTCTCTGAAAGAGCAGCCAGTGCTCTGAACCATTAAAGTCATGTCCAGCCCCAGTGCACATATTTCAAGTGTTCTAAACGTTTGTTAGTCTCTAGCAATCAAGACTATGTGTGCAGGGGAAAGCTACAAACACACGGAACAAGATAACAGAACAGAGAACTGAGAACTAGACCCAAATGCTATACTCACTAATTTTTATGTATTCCTATTACTACATTTATTTAGGGGGTGGGCGTGTGTGCCACAATGCATGTGGAGAGGCCAGAGGACAACTTGCAGGAGCCGATTCTTTCCTTCCACCATGTAGGGCCTGGAGATGAAATTTGGGTTGCCAGGTTTGTCAGCAAACATCTTTACACACTGAAATATCTTGCTGCCTCCCATCGATTTTTGATAAAGGGGTCAAGCAATGGAAGACAGACAGCCCTTTCAACAAACAGTGCTGGAGAAACTGGGTATCCAGGTAGAAAGGGCCTGGGGAGGGAGTCGGGCACAAGCCTGTAACATCTACTACTGAGGAGGCTGAAGCAGTAGGATTATGAGTTCTGGGCCAACTTGGCCCACACACAGAGACCTCGTATGAAAAACAAACAGGCTAACTAAACAGTAAGAAAAGATGAGTCATGGATTTGAGAGCAAAATGTCAAAGCGATAAAATATTTAAAGAGTAAATAAAGCGCTAGATGGTTCAGCAGTGAGGAGTGCTTGTCACTTTCCCAGAGGACAGGAGTTAGGTTCTCAGCACACAGTTCCTATAACTCCAGCTCTAGCGGATCTGACCCCGCCTCTCTGGGTCCTTAGTGCACATGTGCATGAACATACACAGATTCCCCTTCAAATAAAAGATAAATGTTTTTTAAAAAGGTAAATACGTGGAAATTTTTGTCTTATGACAAATCTACTTGTTTGTTTGTTTTTTTAAATAGTCAGTGAGAACAAAGATGAGTTGTGTTCTGGGCTATGTGGGATAAAGAGGATTTGCAAGACACCAATGATCCTTTTAAGTGACTTAAAATATTTATAAAGTTTCAGGAAGATAAGACATTTATGTATAGCCCTCAGAGAAGAAGCAGGGTTTTAAGTGTATCATAAAGAGAGACACAGTATCCTAGCAGAGCCCCAAAAAAGGAACTCAGACTTCTAGGGACAGAGGCAGAGAGGGAGGAAAGGGGAGGGAGGAAGAGGAGAGAGAAGTGGACAACTATAAACATGAGGGAGCTCATAAAGCATGGAGAGAGAGAGAGAGAGAGAGAGAGAGAGAGAGAGAGAGAGAGAGAGAGAGAGAGGCTTTTCTTTGAAAAGATTGCATGGTACAAACAAGGTCTGAGCATGGGGAAAGATAAGACAGGTTTGGAAAATTCCCTGAGTCTCTTGGCTGCGGGAAGGAGGAAAAGCAGAGCTGGGAGGTCCCGCAAGGACCCTAGGAAGCTTTACCTTTATCGGTGTTGGGAGTTACTCCAAAGTGCACAGCAGCAAGAAATGTTAAATCGTGCTGTGCACCTACTTGTCAAACAGTGGTCATCGAGCAATGAGGAAGGTGAGCCAGAGAAAGAAAAATAAATGCGAGACAAAAAGAACAAAAGGCAAAAAACTCCAACAACAACAAACCCCAATCTGTTTAAGACGTCATTGCTCCAGCTTTCTATGGTCAGAGAAAATGGCTGCCTAAGTGAGGATAATGGGATGTGGGAACATTAGCTTGGGCAACACAGTTGAGACCTCTCCTCAGAACAAACAAACAAACAAATAAACAAAACACCAAAACAGAAAAGCCAAACTCAAAAAACACCCAAATGAATACACGAAATAAATAAATAGAGTAGTGCTAATCAAGGCCGAGGAGTCAGAGCTTGAAGAAGTAGATAGATATAGATACAATAAAGTTAGGATTTGCGTCTAGCATCAAGTAGCTATCACCATTTGCTCTGATGAAACAGAAGTGACTCTTTTCCTTTTGTACCCAAATCGAGTCAGGAAACAAACCATTTCACAATGACCCAGACCACAGGGACGCAGCTGTGGGTACAGGGGACCTGGACGTTGCTCCACTTCTGCTGCCCTGCCGTTGAGTGGGGAGCAGATCATGTGGTCCTCTCCGTCCTTTGGGTTATGTCTGTAACTGTGTAGAACAAAGTCACGACTTCCTCCTACCGCTCTTTGGCAACCAGAAAATTAAAATAGACCCCAACTGGGACTTAGGGTGACTAAATAACATTTTAGGTATTCTATTGGTGAAGGACTTTGAAAAATTCTCATATATCAGCCTCCAGCGAGATTCTGTGGCATCGCCAATGAGTGTAGTGGGTACAAAATTGCTCTACATATGGAACAAGAACTCGATTGGTGTTAGGTTATTCCACATGCTAAAGCTGAACAAGACTAGTTCCTACGGGGGAGTTAGTTCTCTTTTGTTTTAAGGAAGATCTTCCTAAAGATCCTTTTAGCTTTAGCCCTGAAAACTAAAAGTACTTCTTTTTTTTTTTAAAAAAAATATAGATTTATTTATTTCACATCCCAGATTAAGTTTCCCCTCCCTCTTTTCCTTCCAGCCCCTCTCCCATCTCCTCTCTACAAACCCACCCGCCCCACCCACTCCTCCTCTCCATTTCTACTCAGAAAAGGGCAGGCGTCCAATGAGTATCAACAACCATGGCATATCAAGTTGCAGGAAGACTAGGAACCTCCTCTTGTATTAAGGCTGGGCCAGGCAACCCAGTCTGAGGAACAGGGTTCCAAAAGCCAGGAGGAGAGTCAGAGACAGCCCTGCTTTGACTGTTAGGAGTCCCACAAGAAGACCAAGCTAAGCAACTGTCAAATATGCAGAGTGCCTAGGTCAGTTCCACGCAGGCTCCCTGGTTGTCCGTTCAGTCTTTGTGAGCCCCTGTGAGCCCGGGTTAGTTGAGTTTTATTGTGTTGCCCTTGACTCCTCTGGCTCCTGCCATCCTTCCTCCCCATCTTCTGCAGGATTCCCTGAACTCTGCCTGTGGGTCTGCGTCTGTTTCCATCAGTTGCTGGAGAAGCCTCTCTGATGACAAGTAGGCCAGGCACCAACATGGTCACAGGAGACTGTTGGTTCAGACTACTTCCAAAATTCCAGACTCTCCTGTTCGGTTTGAAGTACTATACCAAAGAAAATAGAGCTCTTTTTGAAGTACTAAGGATTTTCTTAGACCTCTATGTAAAATAAAGAATGTTTAACACTGGGAATTCTGAAAAAGGGACAGCCTAGAGTAGTGACCGGCAAAGTCCCTGGAAAGGGCAGACAGCACTTTAAGGCACACGGTCTTCGCTACAATTACTCAAATCTACAATAGCGTGAACATAGCAATTTATGAGTAAATGGATCTCCGGGAAATACTGTTCCTAAAGAGTGGTTCAGGGCTGTTTGCTGAGCCCCAGACTAAGGTAAAGTGGACGGGATGAAAGGGACAGTAGAGGGTGTTCTCGGAGAGCGTGCTTAACACGTGGACGAGAGACCGGAGTCTCTTCCAACTGGTGTTCGCTAAGACAATCTGATATCACAGTACCTTATTTAACCAGACTACTCAGATTCTTGGAAGCAAGGGATGTGTTCTTCTGAATAGCCAGGCTAGGCAGGACCTTCTATCACTTTCTTCCCTGGCAGTTGGAAATACTTCTAGAACTCCACAATCTTCGGCCGTGCCTTAGGTACTGCACCACAGATAACAGAACTCTTCTTTGTTGGCTAAAGTGTTCTCAGCGCCTACAATCATCTTTCTCCAGATCCTGTGGCTGGAGGTGTAGAGTGGGCAACGCATTTCTTGGAAGAGAGTTTTGCATGACTTCTAGAAATGGGTGTGTCCTTTAAACTTCCCTCTTTCCGATGAAGGTGAAATCAAAAACTGCCAAGAAGCCGGGAGGTGCCTGTCAAGTGAAAAGTATAGCCCATCGAAACCTGACAGAGACCACCACTTATCAATATATCACTCTATTAGATAGAACACAAAATAGTGTATCTCTAAAAATCTCCTTGTTTTCTTAAACAAAAAATCACCATAGCTAACTCTAAACCTACCTCCACCCTGCAGACTTCCAAGTAGCGGCAGGGTTGGAATTCTGCTTTAAGCAGTCGTAGGCACAGCAGACTTGATCAGACTGATGAGTATGATTATATCCTAATTTATTTTAGTGTAAAGCCCATCAGGCTAGCCTTCTGTCCCATCATACCAAGTATAAGCAGGGACACAGCAGATTCCTGGAGGAGTTCTTCCCGAGAGCAGAGGTTCTGGGGGTAATGCTCTCCTAGGGATCTTTCAGCTGCTGGGGACCCCTGGGACGTCATACTGTGAGGGACTCAAAGGAAGCGTTTCCTGAGCTCCTGCAACGTGCCCTGTGCTTTCTGACCCTTATCAGATTTAATTCTTAAACCAAGGAGGGAAGATAAATATACCTCCCAGTTCACAGACTGGGTGGGTGGGGGAGCTCAGAGACTACAACTCGCAAACACCACAGCCTCAGATCTTCTTAGCCCAGAAAGAGCTGGAGGAGAGAGAGACAAACTCCCGATAAAGTCTGAGGAACACGGCCATAGAGTTCGTGGAGAATAGTCAAGTGTCCAGTTAACTGATGATGACAGAAGACCACCAGAGTTCGGGTGTTAGCTCTCGGCGCGAAGTTAACCCGAGAGGTGAGCCCCCAGGAGAAGGCAGCACGGTTACCTGCCCCCGACTTACTTCCTATAAACGCTCTCTCGGCCTCCAGATGAACACAGAATTAGCTGTGTCTAATCACAAGACTGTTACGCTGAGGTCAGGGCTCTCGTTATCTCAGCATTGAGCGCGGTAATTAGGACTCATAGCGTACTAGATAACAGTGATAGTCACACCAGAGGAGCAGGAGAGAGTGTCTGCTTTTCTGTTGGCAAGACAGGAAAAGCGAATCAAGCCGACGACCTGCCAGAGTAACGCCACATGTCTCCGGGGTGAGGTGGTACCGCACAGACAGCAGAAACACACCAGTTACAGTCTGTAGTGGGTAGAGCCTAAACCAGGGCAAGAACTTCCAGTGAACCACGGCGGTTAGTTCAGCAATCAGCACACAACCAAGACCCAACTCCAGCACCATGTTCTTCTATGTCAGGTCACGCTCTCAACCCCTGCACAGGGGCTTGTGATGATTTGGGTTCGAGATTTAGAGATTGCGATTTGCCACCCAGGAAGAGTTAACCAGAGGGAGCAGAGTTCTAGGACGAGTCCTGTGCCAGGTGTGGTGAAGAAGTGGGAGGGAGGACAATCAGAAGTCGGTTAGTCCAAGCTTCGTGGGGATGACGGTGGACAGGAGTGGGGTAGTAGGGCAGGAATGACTGCGGGTGAAATGTGAGCCCTAAATCAGATTCACTTTTGAGCCAGGTCTCTCCTCGGGTCTGTGGGCTTAGATCGCTAGATGCTCATTTAAACCTTTCTCATGGATTTCCTCTTACGTATAAAAACCTTCCTCTTCCTCAGAGCCCTATTCTGCCTTAGGAGAGATGGGGAAACTTACAGCAGAGATGATATTTGGGTTGGATCTTAAAGGATGGAACATTCCACCAGCTGAAGAAAAAAAAATACTACAGGGGAAATTTTCAAGCAAGGAGAACGAGTCAGGTTGACTCGATCCTTGAGGAAGTTACGGTTAATAAGGTCAGTGCGATGAACTGTGGCTGCTGAGTCATTTTCCTAGGGGGGCAGAGTATTAGGCTTCTGTGAGCCTGTACTTAGGTTGCTTGTTGGTTTTTGAGGCAGGGTTTCACTGTGAAGCCTTGGTTGTCCTGGAACTCCATCTGCAGACCAGGCTGGCCTGGCACTCAGAGATCTGCCTGCCTCTGCCTCCCAAGTGCTGGGATTAAAGGCATGCACCACTATACCCAGTTCTAGTGACCTTTTAAAAAAATTCACCTTGTTTTCAGTGTTTCTGTTCATAGACACTTTACTTATTTAATATGGATATTATTGACTTATTAGCACAAAACTCAGGGTCAACAGCATAAGAAAAGTTTATTGGACATAATTCCTTTCTCAGTTAAACACACCCAGTCTTCTTTGCTTAGACACACATGACATAACACCTCAGCTTTGGAAGCACTCAAGAACCACTAACAGAAAGCATAAAAATCACTGATACACACACACACGCACAATATTGTACTAAATAGACCATGAAAGAAACATTTCTCTGTAGTGTGAGAGTTAAATAAGAAAGCAGGGTGTTGTCTTTTTCCACATGAGCAGGGAAAATGCATGTGAGCTAGCTCGAATTTTCCACGGTTCAGTACATGTAGTCTAGGACTGACTGGGAAGGTCATGTCTTAGTCCACTTGCATTGATCTAATGTAATACCTGTGACTGGATTAATTCACCAACAACACAAATATATGGCTCCCAGTTTTAAAGGCTTGGCAGTCCAAATTCAAGACATCAGCAGTTTGGGTATTGAGGGTCCTGTTCATGAGAGACAGCACTTTCAACGTAAAGGGTACTCAGTGAGCTCTCTCAAGCCTTTTCATAATGGCATGAATACCGTCCGTGACTGGTCTTGACCTACCCAGTCACTGGCTGAGGGCCCATCCCCTAAAACTAACATATCGCAGATTAGATTCCAATACACGAATTTCCAAGGAGCACAAACCATCAGGCATATGGTATAGATTGATCTGAGGGATTAAAAAATGTAGTGAGAAGACCAATTAGTGAATACAGAATCTAAAACTTATGAGTATGAGAATGAATATATCTTTAAAAATCTAGTCTTGAAGTATAAAGCCAGGTTTGGTGAAATTGACGGGGAGAGGAACTCATTCAGAGTATGAATAGAAGTATGCTTAAACTTGAAGTATGCTGGGGAAAGAATGGCAGTTTGGACTAGAACAGTGGCAAAATAAAGATAACACAGCATAGATTTCAGAGACTGCAACACCAGGCAGTGAACTGAATACAAGGGATACAGAAGAATACGGAAAACTCCACGGTGTCTAGCTTAAACAACACCTGACATTCCTAGCGTAAACAGCTCGGTGGGCTACGTCATGACTTTCACACGGGAAGAAAATCCCAGCTATCTTTCTGAGACAAGGCTATTATAACACATTCTATCCATTTCTGCCCCGACCACGTCAAAGACCAAGGGTCCACGTGCATTTGACACGTTTGAGGGGAACAGATGGCATCTGAGAAACCAAAGAGCCTTCTTCAGTAATTACATTGCCTTCTAGGAGATTGATTCTGGAAAGACCAGGTCAACCTTCCTGCAGAGGACTCAAAACCCATTAACGGAATTACCTCTCCCATTGACAAAGAAACACATAAGCTGTTGCCAGTCATTTGAGTTTTAGAAATGAAGGTCGTTCTGTTGAGGGAAACCACTGACATGTCCTTGAATGATCTGACTTAAGTCATATTTTAAAAACTGAATTAAGCAAAGGTTAGTATGAAGAACTAAGCAAAGTTAAGTGAAAGGCAGACAAATAACATCCATAAATACAGCTAAATAGTTCCCTTGGGAACAGAGACTTCTTGGATCAAACCCCCATCCCCAGATGAGACTCGATATTTTCTGAAGTACTATCTGTGTTCCAGTCTTGTCATAATCCCTTCGCGAGTGCTCCGTCTTCAACAGCAGCGTTTAACATTTGCTGTGATCGGGATCAACCTATCCAAAACTGCAAGTAGGTGCCCTGGATCCTCAGTCCCAGTAGTGCATGGCTACAAATCTCAAATGAATCTAGTGTAGAATATAGAAGGGCTGTTGGAAGCTGTTGGCGATGGCTGCTGGGCTGTGGTCCTGAGAAAGAGTGGCTCAGGAGTCTGGAGGTTTGGGGTACAGTTTAGCTCTGTCTCTAGAATATGAACCTGGGAAGGAAAACAGTTTCCTACTCTGGCTTTTATTTTCTCATCTATGTAAAGTCCATATTTGGCCTGTTTCGCTTATAATACCGTAAGACTTCAGGCAAAGATGAGGCTGACTTATGTAAGGGAGAGCTTCTGGAGAGACTCTTAAGGTGTCCAAACAGCATTAGACATGGGCGTATCTCACAGTCGAGTGACACCTTTGTCACCCGAATACAGTACAAGGCAATGTGCCAGCCATGGGCAGATCATAGAGAGTGCTTCCAAGGCACACGTGAACCAGGAAAGGGGCTCTTCGGGAGTCTGCTTCTCCTCACTGGCCACATTGGTGCAAATGCAGGTTGTCATTCAATGCATGGTAGGAGAGACTGAACCTAATTTCAAAGATGACGTCAGGTGATCAGGTAAATGGCCTGACGTTGTGGAACCCCAATTTCATGTAGACTGACTGCTGGAGTATATACATAGTTAACAAACTTTCCCACACAGGTGATTCTCCAGCCCTTCAGCGAGCAGTTGGAACGGCTCCTGTTTATTATAATATAATATAATATAATATAATATAATATAATATAATATAATATAATTTGTATTCAATAAAATTCACCCATCTTAAGAGTTCAGATTCCTGCTGACATCCAGTTATGCCAGTACCATTTGTTGAATATGCTTTCTTTTTTCCATTTTACTTTTATTTTTAGCTTCTTTGTCAAAAATCAGGTGTTCATAGGTGTATGGATTGACATCTGGGGCTTCAGTTATATTCCATTGGTCCTCCTGTCTGTTCTTATGCCAATACCAGGCTGTTTTCATTACTGTAGTTCTATAGTAGAGTTTGAAGTCAGGGAGGGTGATGCCTCCAGAAGTTCCTTTATTGTACAGGATTTCTTTGGTTATTCTGGTTTTTTTGTTTTTCCATATGAAGTTGAGTACTGTTCTTTCGAGGTCTGTGAAAAATTTTGCTGGGATTTTGATGGGCCTTGCA